TGAGCTTGCTCATGTCACGACGGTGGCGTCGTCAGTGACGGATTTGATCCGCGCCGCAACGCGGGTGACAGTATGTGTGTTGCGCTGCTACAGGCTCTCGGGAGCAAGGAGATTGGAAACTCGAACAAGAAATTGTCGGCGCGGTTGCGCGCACGTTTACACCGATTCTCGTTGAGAAATAGGTTGCTGTATTAAAGAACCAACTGGGCGGATACGCCACGAATTGTGGTTCCTAATGACGAGGATTCAAAATATCGTATCCTATATGAGACCCACGATACCCCACTCAGTGGTCATCTCGGTCGTGAGGAGACGTACAGATCGGTAAGTTGACAATATTTGTGGCTCAAGCTGTACAAATAGACGAGCACAAACGTGCGCACGTGGGAGACGTGTTGAAGAGTGTTACCATCTCAAAATGCGTCGGCGCCGCTGGTGAGTTTACCGGTACCCCTCTAGTCAATGAGTGTGGATTTCGTATTTGGTCTACCGAGGGGCTCGGCGAGAACACGGATGATGTGGTCTTTTGTGGACCGTTTGAGCAAGATGGCTTATCTTGCGGCAGTGCCGGACACCATCGCCGGTGTGGGTAAAGCGACGCTGTTTGTCGATCGTTTCTTTCAGCAACATGGAGTTTCGGAGTCAATTGTCTCCGATAGTGACCCGCGCTTCGCCGGGAAGTTTTAGTCTACACTCTTCAAGGTGCTGGGAACCAAGTTGAATATGTATGTGTCAACAGCAGACCATCCGCAGACCGATGGTCAAACCGAGCGCGTAAATCGCGTTCTTAAAGATGTTCTTCGCAGCGTCTGCGCCGAGCCGCCGAAGCGCCGGAAGGCTATGTTACCACTCGTAGAGTTTGCTCCGAACAATGCAGTGATTCGTCTACCGGCTATACGCCGTTAGTGAACGGGCTAATTAATTCTCGCGTTTCGCTGTCGCCACCACCCCATGGCTCAGGCCTGGTGGGGGATCAGCTAGCTGATGTCAGCCCTGTCACGAGAAGTTGGAGACTTCCTGTCTACCAGACTGAGTGTCTGACGACACGTTGGCGATGCGATAACTGAAAGCCAAGACATGCAAAAGGAAAACGTTGACGGCAGATATAGAGAAAATGTTTAATTTATTGAGGTCGAAGACCTGGTTTTATTAAATGCTAAGAAACCTTTTTACCCATGCAGTTTCTGCTGTCTTTAAGACAATGCTCCGTCCACGGTTTATCGGATCTTTCAAGTTCGTGGCCAAGCGAGGCCTAGCATATACGTTAAATCTTCCGATAAGGATGCATACCCACCCGGTGTTTTATGTAGGCTTGCTTTAGCCGTACCGGGATCCGGCGCAAGTGAACGCGGAAGCGTTGGCGCTGGGGTGGCTCCCAAAGGCGCTCGGCGACCCAGAATTTGAACCAGCAACTAGTTGTGGCACGGAGTGCTACAACTTCCGTTTCCGACGGCGCAAGGCGCTTCTCAGTCGCACGAAGTGACGTATTCGCCTGCTCGTCAGCTAGGAGCCGCTCCGACAGAGCACGATAATACTCAACGCGAGGCAGTCGGTGCACAAAGTTCTCCAGACTCTCGAGATTTTCCGCACAGGGGTTGGCGACTTCGGAGATATGCTCGGCAGAATGCTGATGATGACGGACTTTGTCCTCCAACTCTCGAAGAGTATCGCGAGACACCAGACGGTGATCGACCAAGTCGTCATCGTCCGCGGCCTACTCATCTCGATGAGAATGGTGGCGTCCACTGCCACTTGAAACGCCTTGCTGGTCGACGTCGTCGACGAAGTTTATCCCAATATCTTGTAAAGTGACAAAGTTACCCAAACATCGAGAACGCGTGGAAGTTTGGGGTGCCTTTTCGGCAAGACTGCCCAGACGTTGTTTACGTTGTTAACGCTAATGATCAGAAAGATCGTGACGCTTCGCGTCGTCTTGCGCGCCGCACTTCTCGGCAGTAGTCCGGAAAATTCGGAGGCCAACAGCGGAGCTCAAGCTATGGCCCTGAGCCCCTATGGTCGTAGACTTAACCGTGCGGGAAAACGCAGAGCTTGCGGGAGTGTTATGGATTATTTCATATGTCGCAGGGCGACAGTACGCAGGAAGTCGACTTTGCGCCTTGAGTTTGGCAAACTTCAAATCTTAGATGGCGCTCAACGCGCACGTCCACTTCCTTGTGGCTTTGCTGTAAGATAGACAGCGAAAAAAGTTTCCGGTGCCGCTGCACCCATCGCTCAAAGAGCTCATAGTCATCTGCAGCGGTTTTGCCAGGGGCGAGCACCACAGGGACGGTCTGCATTGCGAGAACATGAGCACCTCCTTCTTGAGCTTGGAATTGAGTGCGATACCAATTCATTGGGATCTCTTGGGATACCAAAAAGCAAGCTCGCAGAGCTTTCCACTGATCAAGTTCAGCTTGTGTAGTGGCCGGCGACCCGACTACGTAGACGCCTAACGATCGAGTAATCGCGTCTTTCGCTTTAGTAGCAAGATTCGTCGAGCGAAAGCCGCAATCCACACGAGGGCTAAGACCGAACGTGAATACGAGCGCAAGAAAGCCGCCCTGTGAGAAGCTTCCAATTACTGCTCGTCGAGGCGATTGGTACTGATTCTACTTTCCCCGGAAGCCGAGAGGTCGTAGAACGGACATGGTGACCGCAGGGTTTGAGCTGGGCTCACGTCGCGTCTTTGGCGCACTTGATCCTCCTCGTCTTCCCATGCTGGGAAAGGAGTGTCCGACTTTTAGTCGACTTCATCCAGCTCCTCGACAAGGAAATCCGTCACTCGGGGCGGGCGCTACGTGTTGAGCTCAGTCGCCGAGGGATTTCGATGTGCTTCGTGAAGCCGCGGACGTACTGTCCAGAGATGTACCCTGTGCGAGGATATTTATAACTTTAATGGGGGAGAGTGTAACGAGGTTACACGTGCCCTTGTAAGAAAGGGCGGGTCGCACAAGATAACTTGTGCGACCGTGCACAGGTGTGTTTTACACAATTAGTGTAATAACAGTGGTGTGGCCACACCATTTACCAGAAGCCACCACGTGGCAGAATTGCCAGAAGTGATGCATATTACTAATCTAACTAGGTTTTACTATATCAATGAGGTATTACTATATTAGTTAGGAAAACCTAGGGCTTTATATATTGGCGGCTCTCAACTATAACAATTAGAAAGTTTCAATTTTGAATAGAAGCCTTGGTATGGTTTATAGTACTTAGAGGTAGCGGATTGCGATCCGCTACACTCGTACTGGTTCTTGGAAAGAACTTGAGGTCAGTGACCTTAGCTTAGCTCCCGTTGAGCAAAGAGCTACGGCAGCCCCGCCCTAGTGATACCGCTCTACTTATCCATTAGGTCTTACCGGTATCCACTGGAAACTCCTCTTCTCAACAGATGGGCTACTAATAATGCATATTTGAAATGGTGTGTTCACATCACAGATTATACATCCCCTAGAATGAGGGTGCTAAATGATAATTCTCATGTACGAGAAATCAATGTAAGCAAGGCAAGTACAGGTAAGCATCGTGGAGCGACGTGCGACAAAATTCGCTCCATTTTTAAACGCGGCGCGTTAGTTAGTAGAATATGCATTCCATTAGTTAAGCAAAATATCTCTAAAAACGGTTTTGATTAAATCGTATAGAAAGCCGGAAATGTCCAATAAGCTTCGTGTGCTTGCTTTTAAATCAATTTTCGATTCCCACTATCAAAATGGTGCGAATCAAAAGGAAGCGTGAGATTAAGCCCTCCCAAGAATCGCGGCTAGACGACCCGTATCTGCTGCAAGTTCCACCCTGTCGCTTCTTGGACCACCATCGGAAACATGGCAAGAATGTTAGCATAGTTCGCAACTGTGTGGACAATCCCAACTGTCTTTACGGTTTGGGTGAGCATCTCGAGGGTGTGTGGCAAGGCTCGAAACTCGTTCGACGCGTGTTTGGAAGCGACCCGCGGGATCGCAAACGTGGTTTGACTGATTGTGGCGAGCTTATGCCGTGCGGATTACGTAATCTTGGCGCCACGTGTTACCTAAATAGTATGTTGCAGTGCCTTTTTGCACTTCTACCCTTTCGCCAAGCTGTGTACGAGTGGAAGCCCAAAAAGCAATGTGTAGGTGAAAAGAAAACGTTGCAAATGCGTGCACTTCAAAAGCTTTTTGCTCGAATGCAATTAGGCAATGAGAGTTATTACGATCCAACAGAATTTGCCACCACGTTGTCTTTGAATAATGGCATGCAGCAAGACGTACAGGTACAATATGTTTATCTTTAGTTTCTTGAGGCTGAGCATCTGATACAATGGAGTATAGGAATTCAGCAAACTATTGCTGGCACATCTACGCACGATTTTTCGGCAGTCAAGGTATCCAAGCCATTGGGACTTAGTGGACAGCATCTTTCGAGGACAAATGAATTATGTGACTAGGTGCTTAAAGTGCCATACCAAGTCGATGCGACAATCCTCGTATTACGAAATTTCGTTAAATATAATAGGACACAAAAGTGTAGAAGACTGCATTGGCTCATACTTATCGGCTGAAGTGCTGGAAGGAGAAAACAAGTACTTTTGCGAGCAATGTGACTCCAAGCAGTGTGCTGATCGTTACTTTGAGCTAAAGGTACAGGCACTACCGCCAGTATTGATGATACAGCTAATAAGATTCGTCTTCGATGCCAAAGCTAGCCGAAAGAAAAAGCTAACGGTAAGTCTGATTAAAAAAAATTTTTAGTGCTGTTTTTATCTGTTGAACGTATCAGGATGTCATCGAATTCAGCGAAACGCTTGACATGACCGAGTTGCTGCGTCGAAGTGGCCAGGAAATTGATGCACCTGTTGGTGCTATTTATCGATTACAAGGCTACCTGAATCACCGAGGTAAAAGCGCACATGTGGGCCACTACACGGCTGCCGTAGCTTATCCAAAATCAGGAGAATCTTTTGGTAGAGGCAAGGATGAGGTTAGCAAGAACTGGTTTGAATTTGATGACGCAATGGTAACCAATATGACCCACAGTGATGCAGCGAAAGATCGAAGGAAGGATAAGAAGATTCGATCTCGCGATGTTTATATGCTCATCTATGTTCGCGATGACGTAGCAGTCAGTAGTCCGGGGATTTGTCACGGCAAAGCAAATTCTGAACCACAACCTCCTGAAATCTGCCGAAGCGATGTGAATGCTCTAAAAGAAGCTTTTAATGCTGAGGCCGTAGAGTACACCAGCAGAGTGAGTGCAATGGAAGATCGTATGCAAAGACGAATTGATGCGTACAAACAGTTTTTTGAGACCGATCAACCGTATCCAGATGCGTCTTCTGACCATTTTTATTGGGTAGATACGAACTGGCTTCGTAGCTGGGTTACTGGAGAAGATAAGGACATAGTTGGTGGCAAGTTATCGAATATGTCGCATTCGGGCAAAGACAAAACAATCTTAGAATCCAAAGAGTCCGACTCAGACGGTTTATGTTCGATCGCAGCTGATCAATTACTAGACCAAAAACAGGAAGATGGTAACTATTGTTTCGTTATATCCCCAGACAAAATTAATGAAAAGCGTCATGAAAACCAGGAAGATTTAAAAAACGAAATAGATTATTCAGGTGAAAACGAGCTGAAGACAGCGAATTCAGACGACGGTGTTGTGAGTCGTATTCGCGAGACTCAGATCTCAGCACCAATCCATTCATCCAATCATGATGAACCCAATGTTTTCGAGCTTCCAGAAATCAATGTTGAAGGCATACCCTTTTCGGATTCGATCGATGTCACCCCCTATTGTTGTACGCACTCCACAGATTTGAAAACTGATGAAAATGGATCTTCGAAACCAATTCTTCGCTTCACACCTGATAACGCGCCGAAACTGAAGCGAATTTCAGCAGAACTTTTTGGATTTTTACAAGAGACCTGCGGGCAGATTCCAACTGTGAAAAATTTGATAAGGTCCTTTAAGGCAATGAGAGTGTTTGAGGCACCCATGTACCGTTGCACGGTTTGTGAGGCTGATTTTCGCACTAAAATGTTGAATGACGTCGACTGTCTGAAAGAAGTTAGCGAGGAGCTCCGGCTACTAAAGTACTCTTCTGATAGTGTCTCGATGGCCGTGACAACCAGAGGAGCCTACTTAATGAGTCGACTGTGGATTAAAAGTTACAAAAACTACCTCTCGAGGCTGTATAAAGAGCTTACACCCTCAAGCAAGAAGATTAAAGGATCGATCACTCATGTTACAAATAATAGGCTTCCTACAGCTGCGAAAGGTGGAGTCGATAGACTGCTGGATGCAGATATTAAAGACAATCAACTGAATGCATGGCAAAATCCTATTAATGACGATATTACTTGTGTCCACGGCAATCTTACGCTTGAAAAACGAACATATCGTCCTGTTTCAAGTGAGACTTGGCTGTACTTTAAAGCGAAATTTCCGTCTTGTGCAGAATTCTCTATGTCGGCAACAGAGCCATGCCCACAATGTCAGGTCGACCACATTGCCAGCAAGGAATGTATGCAAGTGAAACGTGATACGCGCGACGTTATTTTATCCGTGACTGCGTTAGAAATGTTATATCGTCGAAAATCTAGAGGGCATTCGATCCAGCTATCAGATATATTTGAAGATATCTCTACATTGCGAAGGACTGAGCTGGACAAAGTATCAGCGTTGGCAATACGGGGCACTGCAACCTTCCCACAGCGAGTGTTTTTGGTATCTCGTCACTGGTTGATGCAGTGGAGAGAGTATATTCGCAATTTGGAAAAAGATATACCTATGTCCCTGACACTGTCATCCATGTTATGTGCACATCAGAAGTTGGTCCTATCCCCAGCGATGTTCGCCCTCCAGCAAGGGCATTCTGTGGATGCTAGTTTATTAGAAGTAGAGTTTGTGACTATGGACGAAATGCAGGCTCTTGCTGAGCGATACGGTGATCCTAATGCATCCATTTACTATGGTCTTCTCAAAACTACCATATCTGAGCTAGGAGAAGAGAAGTGCCATGTGTTGTGGCGACAATGTTCACTCGCTACACTTCAGTGTGAAAACAAAATAAATGTGAGCAAAGAAGCTTACCCTGATGGCATCGTGCCGATAGTATATCAAGACTCAAGCGAAGAGAGCGTAATTTGTGGCGAGTGCCAGGCAAATTCCGATCAAAAACTTCGTGACGAATTAGAGAACTTTTCAGATCGTGAAGTAAATGTCCAGCTACTCAATGACGATCAGGCTATTCCATTAAGCGAAAATTTGATGGTAGACGCCAACACCTCGGGGCGACGCCGCTCGCGACGCATTCGCCCAGGCTCAGCGTGCATGTGGCCCGTCTCAGCTAATGCTACTGATACCGTGTACATGCTGAAAGCAAAAATTTATGCGGAAATTGATGCGTTGCCAATCTGTCAGCGACTCTATTACAAGGGTGAAATGCTGGAGGACCATCGTACACTCAAGCATTGTGGGTATGTATCGATTGCCTATGTGTCTGTACCTTGATATGTACTGTCTGTCTTGTTATGACATTGAATAGAATCAAAGCTGGAGATGCAGTATATATGAGATTATCAGAAGACCACGCGGATGACCTCGTGATGGATGAAGGTCATGAGCGTGAGGTGGGATTCGCCAATTCTGTCTTTCTTAATCAGGAGAAAACAGCGCCAGACACTAGCGGAGACCGAGCCATGGCATTAGCAATAGCCAATTGCCACGAAAATTGCGTGTGGGTGTGTTCTGTTTGCACATTTGTTAACGACGTGCCAAATAATTTCTGTGAGATGTGCTCCACAACGAAAAGCTAACTAGCATCATGATAAAGGTTACATAGAAATAGCGGATAATTTAATTAACTATTGACAACTCTTATTATTGGTCTAAAGGTTATACGTACCACTGGTTGCAATAATGACGAGCCTCAACGACGATGAGCTCGAGATGAATTGGACGGCAGAGGCTGTAGATCCTTCCGATAATGAGAGTACTATATCTGCTGGTAGCGAGGACGAGTTCGAGGAAGAGACAGAGGTGGATTTGGTCTCAGGCATCAAGCGTAGCCGCGAAGATGAAAAGGACGAAGTTATGAACGGTGGAGACGATATGAACGTTGTCAAGAAGCAAAAGGCAAAAGTACACACTGACACATGACAATCATTTTTTCAAGAGCTGGTATTGATGTAGTTGCATGTCTTGTAGCAGAAATCCAATGGCAAAGGACTGCACAAGATGACGCAAGCCGAGCACTTTCAGATTGTCAACGATGCTTACATTAAATATCGCGGTCAGTTGACATCCCTCGAGCTGGCAGATGGACTTAGTGGTATGCAATCGTTTGACGTACTTACACTAAAATTTTGACGGTTTGTAATGGTTTAGAGACACACTTCGTGGTGCCGAAGGGTTTAGGCAAGCACAAACTGATGCTGCTGCCGTCGTACATTCACCATTTGTTGCCATCGTTTAAGCGTGACTTTATGGGCAAAAGTAAGCGCCGCGACAAGAGTCCATACTTTGTCATTTTGTGCTCGTCTGCGCTGCGATGTGTTGAAGTCATCAAGTACGTGGCGCTGGTTGAAAGCTCACTTGAGGTCTTTGTTTAACAGCCCCTTGTTGATTGTGCTTTCAAGACATTTGACTTCCTTTAAATGCAAAATTGCTAAGCTTTTTGGCAAGCACATGAAAGTTATTGAACAGGCAAAGCAAATCGCGAGCAATTTTCTGCCGATTGCAGTTGGTACGCCAGCACGTGTAAAGAAGCTGCTAGAAATAGAGGGACTGTCGCTGAAGCACACGACACATGTAATTATCGACATGGAGAAGGACAAGAAAGAACTTACTATACTGGAATTGAAAGACACAGCGATAGAGATGATGGATCTTTTGCAATATCATATTATTCCACACCTTAACAAGGATGAAAGCAACACCAAGGTTGTGCTTTTTTAAAAAAAACACAGCTCATACCGGAATCATGTTGTTGTTAATTTTCAATTAATCTATTTACGTTACTTTTGAAAACGACAAAGGTGATTGCGTTTGCAGGCAACGCAAGGAGTCATAACAGATAGATTCTGCATAAATTCTTTCTTGGCGTGAAGTTGTCGACGGCAGTCAATATGTCTACAGTTAAGAATTTAAAGAAGAGGAATACTAGCGGCCAATACGTAATGCCACTGCAGAAACACAGGTTGTTAAATGCGACTGCGGTGACGAAACGTTGTGCACGAAACGATCAAGCAAATCGTCCGCAATCTCTGCCATGGTACAATCTACTTGGCTTGCATACACCACCAGATGTCGAAGCCTGTCCACACTCCCGTGGCTATCTACTCATCAATCGGGTCGTTGACAAGGATGTTGGTGTAAGTCACGGTACTGATTCATAAGTTTAATTGTGATCGAGGCACTAAGCCACGGAAGCCAGTGAATACATAGACAGCGAGATCGATTACACGCATCTGATACGCAGACGTGACGCTTTTTATTAAGGTACTCGTTGAAGCTTAACATTTTCCTTCTGCGTCTGCATACGCGCCAACGAGCGCTTTGTGATTCGCTGCCGTAACAACATCCTTTACAGAAATATCTGAAAAGCGACTGATATGTGGCTTTCTGGACGGTAAATGAATCGTGGTGGGTTTTAGTAACCATGGACAATTTGGCGTATCTAACCCAGATAGCACTACTCACTAACTTGCAGCAAATTTTTTTCGATAACATTTTTTTAAATTCTGTGCTATAGCAGCTTGAAAATTAACGAACTAGTATTATCAACTTCACTGCTGATGCGCGCAGCGATGGGTTTAACCCGGCGTACGTCGCGAAAGCTTCAAACGATGTCTTTCAGATCGACCGCTGTGTCTCCGACGGGAGTTCATGCTACTTTGTATCTTGCCATTGGAGGGGGCGCAGCAGCGGCTGTTGTGGCCGCGTTCAAGGGTATTGTGCCGCATGAATGGGTGATTCGTCAGCTAGCGGAGCCCATGATGCCTGTGATACGGATTTTTGATCCTGAGACGGCTCACAACATCGCGGTGCAGTGTGCACGCTTTGGCTTGATACCAAAGGACCCGGAGCCTGATCCAAAGCTACTGCACGTACACGCACTGGGTCTCAAATTTTCTAACCCCTTAGGCATTGCCGCCGGCTTCGACAAAGATGGACAGGCCATGGAAGGAATGTTGGATATGGGCTTTGGGTGCGTTGAGATCGGCAGTGTCACACCCAAGCCGCAACCCGGGAATGCCAAGCCCCGTGTCTTCAGGCTTCCTGAAGATAGGGGGGTAATAAATCGATATGGGTTTAATAGTAAAGGACTTGAGCACGTGAGTACCCGTCTTGAAAAATATGTAAGCTCCAGAGCCAAACGCCAAAAGGCTGGACATCGCGCAGGAATTTTAGGCGTTAATCTTGGCAAGAATAAGTTGACTGAGGACGCTGCAGCCGACTACGTGCAAGGTGTTCATGCTCTTGGCAAGTTCGCCGACTACTTGGTCGTCAATGTCTCTTCGCCTAATACGCCTGGACTGCGAACGCTGCAGGGCAAGCAACAGCTACAAAACCTGTTAGTACGTGTACTTAAGGCTCGAAACGAAGTGGCGGCTATTGAAAAACGCAATATCCCCCTGCTCGTTAAAATTGCGCCTGACCTAACTGAGGATGATAAGCAAGATATCGCGGACGTGGCTCTTGAGCTAAAGCTAGATGGCCTTGTAGTGTCAAATACAACGCTGAGACGACCGGATACGCTGAAAGGAGCTGCGAAGACTGAAATAGGTGGATTGAGTGGTTTGCCCGTGCGTGAATTGTCTACAAAGGTGCTTGGCGATATGTACAAATTGACTAAGGGAAAAATTACGCTCATCGGCGTTGGTGGCGTCTCTTCGGGTCAGGACGCTTATGACAAGATCCGCGCAGGTGCTTCGCTTGTGCAAATGTACTCGTGTTTGATCTACGAGAGCCCACTGGCTATTCCGCGTGCCAAAAAGGAGCTAGCTTCACTTTTGCAACGTGACGGCTACGAAAGTGTGGCTGACGCTGTTGGTGCCGCTCACAAGTAAAGTATGCGCGTCATGTTGGGACTACATTTATCTTGTGCTTGATAGTACCTGATATTCTACTACAAATAGTACTTCGTAGCTTGCTTTTTTTTAGGTCGTTTGAAATACTGCTGCTGGTCTTATTTATCAGAATGAACCATATGGTCATTGCAGTAACCTTGTTCTTGCAAATTATCCAATGTCACTTATACCTTAAAATTATCTTCCTTTACCATGCATGGTGTGCACGAAAAGGCCTAAAAAAGCTTATGGGTTTATTGCG